ATATTTATATATTTATATATACCAAATCCTTTGCAGATCCACACAGAGGAGCTTGCCAATTTTGGTGATGCCAATTTGGGCAATGCTGATTTGGGCGATGCCGATTTGGGCGATGCCGATTTGGGCGATGCCAATTTGGGCAATGCTGATTTGGGCAATGCTGATTTGGGAGATGCCAATTTGGGAGATGCCAATTTTGGCAATGCTGATTTGGGCAATGCTGATTTGGGAGATGCCGATTTTGGTGATGCCAATTTGGGAGATGCCAATTTGGGTGATGCCAATTTGAGTCACGCTCAGCCTGTCGGGGATGGGGCACATAAAGCTCTCCTTGGAGGACTATTAGAGAAAAGCGGGTTGGTTAAAACAAAACAAAAACAACCCGAAAATGTTACTTGGTAACTTTGAAATGACGGCATCGGGCGGTACATTCTGAGAGCTGGGCTGAGTAAACACGGCAATAACCGCGTCAGACAGCCACGGGAGCACATCTGAGGCATATTTGTTTGGACAAGTATCCACAAAACTTTCTTCCTGCAGGAATTCCTGTAAATAAAAGGCAGCCCACCTGAACATAATGAGCTTGGAGCACTATGGATGTCAGGGGGCCCGGCTGGCAGCTCCCTATGGGAAGGGATCTAACAGCCTTTGCATCCCTCTCGGTGCCAGGACCCCCACGGCAGGTACAGGATCTAACAGCCTTTGCATCCCTCTCGGTGCCAGGACCCCCACGGCAGGTACAGGATCTAACAGCCTTTGCATCCCTCTCGGTGCCAGCACCCCCACAGGCAGGTACTGAAGCGATGCTTCAGTCTTGGCAACCGTGGCCTCCAAAATTCAATCCCTGGCTGCTTCTTCTCCTCTACTTCTACCCTACTCAAACAGCCCCATTGCACTGGAGAGAGGAAATGACACCCAGGGCAGTGTGTGTGTCACCAGCACAGCCCAAGGCCAGCATCCAGCCCCACCAGTGATGGCCAGCAGCAGGGAATAGGAATGGGAGCGGGAACGGGAACGGGAATGGGAACGGGAACGGGAATGGGAATGGGAACAGGAATGGGGAGCAGCAGCATTTCTCCTCTCCATCTCTGGGGTGTGCTTGGGACACTCCAATTCCCAGCCCAGCCCGCCCTTTCCCAGCTTCCCTGCAGGATGGGAGAGGCTTCAGTGGGAATGGGGGAATGCTGATTTCCTGGAGAGGCTCAGGGGTCCTGCCGATGAGTCCAAAACCCCAAGGGGCAGGGTGTGAATTCTCACCGCTGCTTCCTCTGGCACCGAGGGAAAGGAGCAGCACTGGGGCAGCCAGCCCTTGCCCTATTCCTCTGGTGCCTCTCCTGTGTCTGAGAGGTTATTTCGTGGTCTTGCATCTCTTTTTCGCGGCTCTCCAGGATGACATAAAGTGCCCGTGGTGCACCAAGGACGTGCGGTCACAGCCCTGCTCCACAGCAGCCAGGCAGTTTGGAGGAAAACCAAACTGTGCTTTTCCCTGCCGTGCCAGTGGCTCCTTGCAGGGATTAATTACTGCTAGCTCTGCCCTCCTGCCCCCTGTCCTGCCTCTGCCCAGCCCCTCCTGGCACAGCCCCCGGGAGCCGTGGGATGCAGCAGCCCCAGACAAAAGCGCATCTCCCAGCCCGGGGAGCCTGGAGAGCTCCTGGAGCCACTGCCACAGCAGCGACCTTAACGCCAGCAGGCGCCTCCCAAAGCCCAGCTCTGCCTGGCTAATTAATTTAAATTATTTATGTCATTTGAACCCTGTCTATGTTTTAAAAAGGAAGTGAGACAGAGGTACGCACAACGCGCTTCCCAGGTAATTAGGATGCCGCATTGCTTAAAGCTTCATTTGCACTTTAATTGCTTTGATTTATTCCAGGTTTCCCGAGTGTAAATCCAAAGCTCCCCCTCGAGCGCTGCTGCTCCCCCAGGGCCGGTTCCCACCTGGCGGTGTGGGGCAGGAGGAGGCGATGGCACAGCCAGCTGTGCTCGGGAGCGGGGGCAGCTGTGGCAGAGCCACCAAGGCTTTGGCACCAGTGCCCGGCGGCTGTTGGTGCTCCAGGAGCCCTGACCCTGG